GCTATTTCAAAAATTTCTTATGACTTTTTTTTTCAATCCGCATATTTTAAGTGCATATAAATACATATTTCTAAACTTTTTTAGACATATTTCAATGAGTATTTTGCCAGTTTTTAGTGCATAAGTAGATACTTATTCAAGCATTTTTTAAAGCGAGACTTACGAGCTCTGGTCATTATGATATTATGTAATGCTATTTATATGATTTAAAAACGTATAGAGTATTAAAATATATAAAAATGCTGGCTACATTGTTTAGCAAGATATCCTGGTATGTTAAATGTAAAAGGACAAACAATCATAAAATGAAAAAAAAATATATTACATTTTTCATCAGAATTCAAAAACAAAACATGGATCCAATAAGAATCTATAAAATCAAAAGAAAATATTTTCCAAATTAAATTTGCCATGCAATCTATTTTTTTCAGCTAACTTTCCAGAAACATTTTTACATTCATCAGAGCCATTTTTAAGTAGCTATATTGCTATTCAATATTTATTTAAAACGATTATGAAAAATTACTAAAATCGTTATTTATTAAAGTTGTTTGTTGTCTACTGAAATGTATACGTACCCTGTACTGTTGATTCTGTCTATATATTTGGCTTTACCGATAATTATCTCTTTGGGTTTAACAATGTAGAGTTTAGGCTGGATAGTTATTCGATTGTCCCTTTTCACCGCTAGCAGCGTTTGGTTTTTTTGTATGGCCGAACACTGTAACGCCCAAACGGACAACAATGAGAGAAGTATACATCTTATTGACAACATTGTTCTACTGATACTAAACAAATGCGTTGTGAATTAGAAATTAACGAGTCGCGTAATAGCCAATGACTTTTGATCCATTTGATAATTAAATTAGTTTTATAAAAGTACATATATACATAATTATGTATAATGTTATTAGATAAGATATTGGGATCATATTACATAAGTTGTTCCAATTATAATATTGTAAAGTAAATAGCTAATAGCTATAAATCATTTCTAAAATAAAACAAAACAAAACAAAAAAGAAGAAAATATTATTTTTTAAATTACTACCTCATTTGATGTATTCTAATGGTAAAATCATGTGCGAATAAATAATATGTTTATATAGGTACAATAAGCGAAAAGAATTTTAAAAAATTTACTAAGTGAGTCGTAAAAAAACAAACTGTACATTTTTTTAAACGATTGAAATATATTTTTATTGGATGCACAAAGACTATTTCAAAAATAATGGAAGATATTAAACATTTTGAACAGTCAATACATAGTTCTTTGTATAGGTATCAGGTACATACAATCTTTATTAATTTACCTAAGCATAGGCTAAATCCCCCCAATATTAATTTTAGCCCCCATTCATAATTCCTAGTCCCGTCAATGGTAGCTAGCTGCATTTTTAAACTTTAATTTAAAATATCATTTTATTTTTTATTAATATCTTAGAAAATATTTTATTTTTTTTTGTGGTTATCAAACTATATTATTATTGTATGTAATGACCCTGTGTAAGACGGATCATGTCGTATAGTTTTTTCAACATAAATACCACTTAGAAGTTGTCAATAAACTAAACACAAAAATTAAAGTCGTACCTAAAAGACGTAGTATTATTAATAAATGGTGATTTAACGAGTAACGATGACCGGACGACAATCGCTATGACTGCCCCTGCCGGCCTCATATAGGGGCTTTTTGGTCTCTAATCTTCGTCCTTCTAAGTACAACGGTTATGCGTGTTTGCGTCTGGTAGTTGGTACTCAGGTTATTACTTTATTTATTATTTGTTTTATCATACATGTTACACACAGTGTATAATAATAAATTAATAATATTATAATTTAATATTAAATGTTATTTGAGGGACGAGTTCGGTGGGTGGGGGTGGCGGATCCCCCCAAATTTTTACTTATTTTAAATATGTTAGGGCTAACGCCCCCCTAACTTTAAGGTCTAGTTACGCCCATTTTACTTAAGTCCGTTGATTGTGCGTAGGTACTTACTATCAATTACCATTGATTATAAATACTAGGATTATTACAATATTGTATTTATTAGTACATTATTACTTATTTATCTATTTGATGATTTAGGTAGACCTGAAATGGATGAACTAATACTTGATAAAATATTAATTGCAAAAAAACATTTTGATAAGTACCTAATATTATAATGAAATTTCAATTCTACGTTAGCCCTAATTATTTAATGCATTATATAATGCACAATAGACTACTGATAATTATTATTATTGATTGCTTATAATAAAAAATAATAATATTCAATGAAAAAAAAGCGGGTAAGTGGAATTCACTCTGCAGTACAGTATGTTACAAGTGGTTGATTTATAGATGGTGTTAAATTTGAATTCAACGATATATGTAATATAATTGTATACGAAAAACGATTCTGAGAGGAGACGGTTAGTCAGCAAATGATATTTTATATTATATTTATATTGTTATAGGTAGCCGGTTAAATGTAATTATTATTATTTATCTATTATCATATATTATGTATATATAATAATATACTTTTAAATTTCAAAAACTGACGAATAATTTTTTTAAATATAACACAAGACTAAAATCGTTCTTTATCGTTTAAATATCTAATTTCGTCCAAATTAGAATGAAAAATAACTATAAAAAATGTGATTTTATATTTTTAGATTTTTTGGTTACAGAATAACCTATTTACGTGGAACCTTGTTTTAAATTTCCAAATTTTCAATCCTCAACACTTAAAAGTTAACTGTATAAAAGTTGAACATTTTATACATTTTTAAATTTGATAAATCTTTTCAATAAAAAAAAAAATATATCAGTAGCCTTGTAGTAAATGTTCATGTTTTTGGACCCAACAAATAAATATTTATTGACATAAAAAAAAAAACTAAAAAAATTAGAAAAATGAAATTATAATTTTCTTCTGCTTACAAATAGCTTAAAAAGTGTCAAAATTTCACTATGTGTAGAAAATGGTAATTTAAAAATTCGGTGACAATTTCATTTATCTACGGTATGGTTTTTTATAGAGTTAGCTGGAACACCAAATAACAAAATGTAGCTACACGAAAATGAATTGCAGCTGTACAAAATTTAAAGTGAGCAAAAAGTACTGTCAAAAAGGAGGCATTTACCCACAACCAAATGATACAAATATACAATATTCAAATTTCAAGTGCTGAAATTAGTGAAATTAATAGATTAAAATTATACAAGGTGTTTCAAAATACATTTTCCATGCAAAATATATATGCGATAAACAATAAAACGGCGACAGAAGGACCTATATGTAAATAATAAATAAAATGCATTTGACTCAGTTGTTTGAAATATTCAATATCAAACTCACCGCATCGTGTAATCATGTGACGCAATTTCAACTTTTGGATGAGGGGGGGGGGCTGAATATATTAAAGGTAAGCAGACCATTGCAATATAGCATATTAAAACTGTATGTCCAAGGTTTTTTGGGGGGGCTACGGCTAAGTTTGGGGGGGGGGGCTTAGCACGTGTTTTGACAGTAAAATTATCAATTTTGGTTCACTAGGTTATTCTCTATGGAATGACTGCAGAAGCTGATATGTAAATTTTGTTAATTTTTGAATTATCATTCAAATAGTTTAGAAATCGTATATTTCAAGTGGTGGAAAAATATGATATGTCTCTATTATGTGTGTGGCCCCATTTATGTGCAAAAACCAAAACTGATATGTCATTATTTGAAAATATATGTAGCGTTAAACTAAGTTTGTAAAATGTACATATCAGCTTCTGCCATCTTTCCACAGAACTATGGTCCTCTAAATTTTAGTATAATATTATGCATTAATACTTTTAACTGAAATACCTTATTTACAAGAGCTGAATATTTTTTCTTATAATTACCATTTTATATACTTTAATTAAATCGGTAATCTAAAATGCTAAAAAAAAAACCAACAAAATTGTTGGCAAACATAGTTTATTATTTATAGAAATTTTTCGTGATTTAAAATTGAGAACAATTTTGTTTTATAATATTATTAATAATAATATTATACCTACATTGTAGGTATAGTCCTACATACCTACCTACTTATACATATTTTTTTTTTTAAACTGTATTGTACGCGTTAAAAAAAATATATTTTTAGTATAAATATGGGCCCCCAAAATCAATGGGCCCCGAGACTGTGCCTCCCTTGGACCCCCTCCCCTTAATCCAGGCTTCATAAATTGTTTTATTTTTTGATTGCAATATAAAAATTAGTCCTTTAATCAGGCTCATTTGTTTCAAATGTAAATGAAAAAATGAAAAATCATGAATTATTAAATTAAATTTCATATACATATTTATTTTTTAATGACATAATTATTAAAGGTATATTACTGGTAATTAATATTACCATTTTCTTTATATTTTATATTCTTAAAATAAACATTTTTCGATTGTACGTAATTCTCATATGTAGATCAAACATTCAAACAGCAGCTTCCCTCTGGCTTCGAATTACCTGCAGAATGTCAGAATATTTTTTGGACACACCGCACACCTTTACATAATTATATACTCAGGGCATCGAGAGACCGCTACTGGGGGGTGCCCAAAACTCGTCCGATCTCGAGAATTTCCACCCCAAAATCTGCCAATACGCTAGCCGCCGCCACCGTCGTTGCTACAACTATAGGGTAGAGTGGGAGAAATTCGGGTACGAAATGATCGAGCTCGTTCATTTAGATGCGCCAACCAGAAGCGCTCTCTCGGTGGCCCGAGTATAGGTACGCGTTTTACACAGTTAAATACTTAAATCACGATGTCCTAAAGGCTAAAACGCCTATCGTTTATAAGCAAACTACGGTGACTCCGTCAGACCTCATTCCTTAAAAAAACCACATATTCCCCTAAAATATAATAATTCTTTCGCAGATTTAAAACTGTTTTTCATCAATCGATGGTGCAAATTAGTGGTCGATAGCAATAACTTCCTAAGCTGCTGTGGGGAAATATTTTAGATCTAGTTTGGCCACTGCCACCGATGCAACTTGGGTTTGAAACTCCAACAGTCAGGTAATCCGATGTGGCTGAAGTTGGCCACGTGTGATTTGCTAAAACAGAACTCTCCGAGACGTCCTCCGGTACCCCTGGTCGGTCCAGAGACGGCTAAGAATCTCAGCTTCTTGAAAGTCATATGGCTCGTAACTTTGGCGTCTATGGCTCCCTTGTTCGAATAGCCAAGCGCCTCGAACGGGTACACGCCGTCCTTGTCATTCAAATCATCTCTGCAAAACCCGACGACAATCTCAATTACAACAGGTATATATAAAATATATATTTATAGACTAGTTAATGTTTTTTTTAATGGTTTTAATAGTATAGCATATGCTATATATTGTATTTATATTATATATATATACATCAAAATTAAATAAATAATACCCGACTTGTGAACATTTTAAGTGAAAAAGATTCCGTTCTACTCTATTATTTTTAATATTAGAGTGAATTGACCTATTATCAAGTTTAAATACAAAAGTATTAGCGGGAAGGTTTTTTTATATTTTGATTTTAAGCAAAGTTATGAGTATTTTTAAATTCTGAATCACAGAAGTCAACTAACGCAAGTCACAAAAAGCAAATTTTACAAGAGAGACAAAACAAAAATATTTGTTGCAATGGACTTACCATTGTATACTTCAAAAATATTATTTTGTATTACTTTTCTTATGTAAACGCTAAACATACGTTTCTATACTCCTATCATAGTTTAAGCCTTACGTTAGTATACTTCTTGCTATTTATGCATTTATTGTATATAGGACTTATGTTTTGATACCTTTAAAAAGATCACAAAAAGCATATTCTGATTATATAACTAACTCAAAATTTCAAAAAATGGACTTGCGGTAGTTGACTTCTGTGGTAGAGAATTGTTAAGTGTTTAATGCTTTTAACTTCCTTCAAAATATAAAAATCAAGAATACTTCTAGAGTAGCCCTAGATAATATGTTTGACTTAAAATTTAATAACAGGTCAATTTCTCAATTCACTCTAATATTGAAACAAAAGAGTAAACCTGATTTTTCTTTACGTTTGTACAATTGTCCATGTTACGCGTTAGTAAGTTGTAAGATGGAAATAACTATAGTATTCTAGTGAGTGGTGATGCTTAGTAGTATAAGTTTATCACGTCCTTAAAAGTCTACTGAGTTATATGATGTGCCGATGCGATGTGGCCCCACCAGTGTCAGGTTGTAATGTGAAATTTATATTTACTATAAATAAGATACCGATAGGTAGTATTAAAAATGAAACAATAATTTTTAATTGGTAATGCCGTAATAACTGTCGGGACATGGGATTTAATGTTTAGATTACTAAAATGATAGATTTTTGGCTAAGATAATAATGAATAGAAAACTATTTCGATAAAATGTATATATAAATGGAAAAAATTCAATATTCATGATACAGAAATATAAAATGGCATTAATTATTCATTTTGATGATTTATGATATTCTATATGTTTTATTCTGCGATACTTGTTTCTTTTAATTATATAATATTATATAATTAAAAAAAACAAGTATATATTCTATATATTTTGTTAACCATTAGATATATTTTGCTATGCAGTTTTTTTTTCTCAATCGTTTTCTATTTTAATGACGTTTAAATAATATTGTAATCGTCTTTTGTCATGTATAATAGTGTATAACGATATAAATATAAATTATTATAAAATTCGCAAGCCATGAAAAAACTATATTAAAATTAGGCAATACCTATTGCCGAAGCCCGAAGGTGATATCTAATAGCGTTCCTTGGGCAACGTTTTAACATATAGTATGTAATAAAAGTGCCAAGTGAGTAAAATCATAATATGTATTTAAAAAGTATAATATATATATTATACTATGTACTACGGAGAATTGTGACCCACCCTTTACAAAATTACTGCGGATTCTCTTGCCTACAATAGTTATAAATTCACAAGATAAAGTTCCATAATATTATATATGCAGTTCTGTAATATATATGATAGGTTCAATTGGTGCGTTTCTTGAGGGGAAAAGATCACACTTTCACCAGAATATCAATAACGCTCCGTTGAAAAAATATAGTTTAATTGTTATATTTAATAGAAGTGTTGAGAGAGCACTCTCTTTTGGAAGTAAAGAAATGGAGTAAACACGGCCGTCAAACAATCGCTAGTGTTTTATTATACATATAATCGATGTTACGGCGGCGTTCGGTTTTGTGTGGGGGATATGATAAGACGTAAAAAAATAACCATGTCATAATGTACAGAATGTAGGTTGTAGTTTATAGGCGTACAACATGCAGTCATCGCTAAGCTCCAAAGCGAAATTGTGTTTATTTACCTGGACGAAATGGCGTTTGCAGCCGAATAAGGAGGAGCACAAGACTCGCATCTGGACTCTGGATCGTTTCTGAAATCGTTGGAACGCATCAGGTGCATCATGCTCGGCACGTCCGTCACACCAACGTGGTCCCTGGCCAATATACGAGCCCGGGGAGTGTCTTTGTACGAAAACCTATTTTGATACAAGAAAAAAAGAAAAATGCATATACAAATATTATAGGCATGCGTGCGGGTGATGCAGCAGCATAATATATATATGTATTATAAATATGAATTTCGTTTATAAAAACGAACGCTATATAAATAAGGTTATAAAATTTTTTACGAACATTGTGAAAACTATTGATCCCAAAATATATCTCGATAACTCAAAATTAGGTAGGTAACGTATAAATCCGGTACCTAACCTAAAATCTCTACGCTACAAGCTAATTTACACATACATGTATTATGTATATGTATACTATTTAAAACATGTTTATAATCTGTGGTGTATTTCTGCACCCCCCGTATACGTTTGCCAAAACGTGCCATAGCCACATATATTTATATAGGTTTGACATGTATACATCGTTGCAGCAATCTCCCAGCAGATCATGTCCATCTATCTTACCAATTTCCGTATCGCTTCACCATATCGTCTTGACCGCTCGCCTCGGATATCGCCGGCAAAAATGGCACGTTGTAGCCCGCCCAATACGTCTGGTTCAGAAACGATTCGGTCAAGTCACGCGTCTCGACCAGTCCCGGAATTTGTTCGAGCATGAAAAGCAGCCCTCTTCTAGGCAGTTTGCGACCTGGCCGAAACAGCGAATAATTGATCACCAGCCACTGATTGTTGTACGTACCACTGTTGTATTTCTTGAACAACTTCGTCCAGGCCAATCCATCGGACGCCAGCCGATTAGCCACCATCGCCCGAACGAAAACCAACACCTTCATCATTTATTACGGTATAATAATATAATATTTTTTTTTTTTTAGCGCATCATTTTCGTTATTTATCCGAGGCATTTATGTCATTTAAAGGCGTTTCTGTTATATTATACGATTTAAAATTATACTACATATTTCAGTATACAGAACACAGCGTCATGAATTTTTTGTAGTATTGGGGTCGGATTTTATTTTACATCATATTCATCAAGGGTTCGACAAAATGAAATTTAAAAACCAACTAAAAATACTATTTTTTTTAGTTTTAACAGGCAATTTGTCTTATGACAATTTTTAAGCACACACTTGTATTAAAAACAAAAACTTTTTTGTTTTTTAAATGTTAATAACAATTTTTTTGGTGGATTCTGGTAGTACTTATTTTTCTGAAAATGTTGATTGTGAAATCATCAATTTTAATTCATGTAACTTTAACTAAACAACTTTTCTATTAGAAATGTTAGTGTAAATTGATTCATAGTTTTAACTAAAACAATATGGAATAAATACTTTTGTGTACCTACCTAAATGGCTAAATGGTATTTATTTTAAAAATGAATTAAATGTTTATTGTGTTTCAAAATAAATAAATTTGAATTATTTAATAATTATTTAATAATTTTTAATTATTTAAATTTATATAAAAATATTAAATTAGATTAAAAATTAATTAATTTCAAATAAAATCCAAAATTAATAGTTCAATAATCAAAATGTTCAGAAAAATGCTTATCGGAATTCATTAAAAAATATTTAACGATTTAAAAAAATATATTACAACTGCATGCTTAAGACATTTTAAACTTTAGCATATTTATGTAATGAATACCAACTTAATAATTAATAGGAAATAAATTAAAAATATGTAAGAAGTATTTAAAATAATGTATGTTTTTTTTCAATGGGGGGGATGTGGTTTGGGTGTGACCTGAAACACACACTTGGGTACAGCTACCTTGTATAAGATTAAGAATGTAAATTCTGATAAAAATGTTCTCATTAATTTTGATATAAAACTGATGCATAATTCCACGTCATGCGTTACAAATATTATATAGATATGTTGGTATGCTCAGTGCCTTAGTATGCACAAAAGCGTTTATATATATTATAGCAGTCCGGCAATCGTGATATTATTTAGCTTACACTAGTTACACTACCTATGTAGTATATACTATAGTACCCATATATCTAGTAAATTACTGCAGTTTGAACTGATTTGTATAGTGTATTTAAATATTGTGCAGCCAATATTTATATATACCGTGATTTGTTACGCATCGGTTTGAATATAAAATAATATGTTTGTTATTTTAATTATTTATACATGATATATTTTACTATACTTGACTTGGGAAGTGGAATAATGTAAAGTATAGGTACATTAATTTTGAGACCTTATATTAATTCGATTACCTGAAAATCGTTAACCCTGTAAAGTTTATACAACCTGCACATATAATATTATATGAATGTGTACGGTGAACCTATATGGCTATATACAATATACATTATACTTTTATTCCTACATAATATTATGGTTCACCGTTTACGGTTCTTTACCATTACACGTATTTATCTCTTACCTGCCCAACTGGCTGAACGTAGGTCCATAACTGTGGATTGTAAACAGAAATAGTGGTTTCGGTGACTGCTAAACCCGAAGAAATCAAGTAAAAATCGTCCATTGAATATATGAATCCAGGATACGAACTAAATGTTATATCGTGTCCTAACACTAGTTGGTACGACGATTTACTTTCCTTGTAATTAAGACGATATCGCTTTTGTATTCTCAGCATTGTTTCGTACCTATAAAATATACGTTTAACGATAATATATATTATATCATTTTAATCACAAAGCTCTCGGAAGATAATAAACACATAGTACATAATAATATAATATAATAAAATTTAGGTACCGATTCCCAGTAACGTGGGAGAAAAACAACTCTTTGGATCCAGGTAGTAATTTTATAAGAACTGAACACGATTCAGCCCCAAATGGTTTTTTACGAGGGTGCGATGAATTAAAGGCATCGCATAAATTAAATAAATCTTCTTGAATGTTCATCCAACTATTCAAAACGATAAAAATTTCGTTTTTTAAACACAATTATTAAACGTCGTAGTAAATAATAAATTATAAAGATCAATGACAGATATTAAAATAATATATTATGCTCACAAAAAATTTTCCCATGTTAAAGACTGCATTCCTTCTTTTGTATTCAGCTTATATCCATCGTATAATCCGTCGAGTTGCTTGTACATGAGACCAACCTTTATACGTAAGACCCATTGTATATACTTTATACATTTATACATATAGGCATAAGGAGCATAAAATCGATAACTCGAGTCTTGTAATAGATATATGCTGGATTGCATAAAACATTTAATGAATCAAAAGTCAGCTAATGGTCCCTTAAACAAGATTTAGTGACCCGTGATTGGTCCATTAAATTTTTAGTGAACCATTAAATTTAATAAATTGTTTATGAACCCAGCAATAATATTATGAATTATAAGGTACAAACTTGATGCCAATATGCGTCCGATCCATTTTCTCTGTCACTTGGGACATGACCAATTTTATTAGTCCACAAGAACTTGTTCAATTTTTCACACAAGTATGGTCGACCGTTACAGAAATTTTGAAAAACATTATACCAATGCGTGTTTATCAAGTCGGCAGTGACGTATCCTTCCAACAAACCAGCGGCATAGGCTTGAATCACGTCATCTTCTTTGATGGATGTAAATATTTCTAAATAATCCCACCTGGAAAACAAACTATTTAATATTTTTACTATAGGCGTACCTAAATATATTCTGTAGGCATGCATCATTCCGGAAGACAACATCAGCCACTATTTTTAGTCGATGGATGTATAATTTATGTATTGGTATGAATAATTGCATTTTGCTTATATTTACTTTTTGAAGTATTTATATAGTATTCTAAACACAATTTTTTTAATGTATTTTTTAAGTATTTTGAATACTTTTTAAAAGTATTTTTAACAAAATTTAAATATCTGTATTAAAATACCATAAAGTCCGTTTTATTAATTTTAATTTATTATTTTTCACAAACAATTGACATAAATAAGCATAATATTGTTTTCGTTGAAAATTAATATTGTATGTTTTTGTATAGTAAAAGTAGGTAATAACAATGTTGTAAGTGGTTTCTGTATTGGAATTTTCATAAGAAAACTAAAAATCTAATAATTTTAAAATAGTTTCATATTAATAGTTACCTACCACTTAATATTTTATTTTTTTAGTTAAAATTTAATCAATATTAGTTGAAATATATCTAAATGCAGAATGATATTTGTGAACATGTATTTATCTCTAGTCAGATGACAGACATGTTAATATTAATTGTTAAAATCTATGGTAAGTAGTAACATAATAGGTAAATAATACCTATACTGATATATAGGTACCTAGCATAAAATTAAAAAAAATACTTGCATTTGTATTCAAATACTTTGTGAGTATTCGTAAAATACATTTTTATAATAGTATATTTTAAAAGTATTTTTAATACTCTTTATTCGAATACTAGTATTAGTATATTAATACTTTTTAAAAAGTATTTTTTACAAGACTGGAGATACATAAGTTAGGGGACTAAAGGAGGTTTCAGTGTTTCACTGTACTTATATTGCAATTGCAGACTCACCCTGTATAGTTTATACTCTGAGTGTAACTAGCTTTACCGACGAGTCTACCGTCTTCCGTGTGTCGAATTCTAATATTATCGTCGTCGTCGGCGATAGCGTAAAATAACTGGTTCGTGTCGTCGCCCGAACTCCGGGTTGGCAGCGTCAAGATGATCGCAGACGACACTAGAAACACGACAATCGCAATTTTTTTGGCAGACATAATAATTTACGACGATTGCACGATTATTGTAGTACATATGTGAAAGTATAATAAATTAATAATGCTTGCAGGTACAACAAATGCGATCGATAACCAACTAAATGATTCTGCTGCTAAAGCCGCGAGCCGGGACCCTGCAGATAATAATGATGGTATATAATATGTTTAATATACATTAATAATATTATAAGTAACATTGTGTATTTGTACCAATACTTTGCAATGTCCCCGTAGCTCCCCCGTCACAATATAATATAATTTTAATAACATAATAATTACTACTATTGTGAGTTGAGCTGGTTTTTAATTATATACCCATATATGTATATTAATGATTAATTTATATTGTATTGAATACTTTATTGTTTTTATTGTCAATAACAATAGTAGGTATAAAGTATAAAATAAATAATACCTATTAATATTGTTATTGTAATTGTAACATTATAAAAACATTAATTGTATATGTTGACACAAATTTAAAAAAAAATATTGTGACGTTATTTTTATGAGGCAATTTACGTAATATATTATATTTATATTGTTATGTACCCACTCTTACGACTAACATATAATCGTTAACAAACACAATTACTATAACATATAGAATACACGTCTTTGTACCCTAATGAGAATTGAGAATTGAGAAATGAGTATCACTCAATGGTATTTATTCTTTTAATTATACCTAAAAGTGACTGCGACTTTATTTCTTCGTTATGTTAATTATACCTGTATATAATAATATTTAATAATATTACAGTCTACACAATATTGTGTTGGTTTCCATTTATTTATAATTATTATTATTATATGGATTAACATTGTTTTAATATTATCGCAATAATAGTTAGTAGTTAGGTACACACTTATACTAGCTAGGTAATCATAATGTTTTTTTGTCGTTGATATCATATGATTACAAATATTGTGAAACGATATTATCTTAAACCTATTTATGTATTGATAATTGATATATATGGGCATATGGACGTATGGTATATATATGTTATACATACTACATAATATTATACTACCTACATGTATAATCTACAATATAATAATTTTGCTTAATAAACGCTACAGATAGTGCAAGTGCAACATGATAAACCGATAACTAGAATAAAAAAAACCGATGACTAGCAATTAGTATATAATATAAATCTCACAAAATGAATAAAGAATACAGAATAAGGATAGGTCAAATTAATTTAAAAAGTAAACTATAATATTGCCTGCTGATAAAAAGAACAGGGAAACTACACTCAGATTATCAACTGGGTTAACTGTAATGGATAGTGTTGAATTTGAATTCAATGATATAATATCATTGTATACGAAAAACGATTCTGAGCGGAGACTTCTGTTTGTCAGCCAAGAAGTAGGTTAATACTAGGATAAGATATTTTATATTATTATTATTGTTAATATTTAATACGGTAACCGATTAATTGAATTAATATTATTTGTATATAGGTAATAATATACTTTTTAAAGTTTCAAGCACCAAAGGTAAAAATAAATTATAACACAAATCTAAAATCGTTCTTCTTCGTTTAAAATTTAAACATTTAATTTCGTCAAAACTTGAAATAGCTATAGAAAAAACAGAGTTTATATATTTTTTAGATTTTTTGGTTATGAAATTCTTAAGTGGAATCTTATATAAAATGTCCAAATTTTAGATGTAAAAATAAAAATGTTCACAAATTTCCAACTCAAAAGTCAAAATAAATTACAAATGTTCGCGATTTTTAAGAATAATGTCAAATTTCGAACTTCAGACATCAGACGCTCAACTTTCTTTTTAATTTACACTTACATTTTGTTTTTTTTTGTAGAAACTCTTAAACAAATTACCGTAAGTACATGCAATTTTGAATATGTATTTATATTAGCATTTCTATACACCATAACGTTTTCAAAATATTTTGACACCTTTTTTTTACTTATTTTTCTTCTTTATCTATACATACGAATGTTTGGTTTTTTTTTATACATTGGATTTTAGTACAGTTAGGTTGGGTTAGGATTTTGTATTAATTTATTGTATTAATCCGCCGTAGGGTGAATTAAGTAAAAACGATTTCCCAATGCTATAATAGAATATAATATACTATTATCATTATTACTTTATGATCCCTTTGTTCATAAAGTGTTTACTACACATCATATTATACATTTTTCTAATGGCTGTAAATATAATGTATGTTAGCAACTATGGATATTGGATATATACATACGTATATATACATATTATAAGTTATAATGGGCTGTTAATTTATTGCACTAAAAATCCTTAAAAAATGCATTAAAAATGTCAAAAAAATATGAAATATAAAACGCCAAAAGTTATAGTATAAAATTCACACATAGTTTTTAATTTAAATTTTTATATTTATATTGATATTATAGGATATTTAAAATTAGTAAATTACATTTTACATGCATAAAAAAATGTGTTTATTAAATAAAAAATAAATTGATGAAATTTGAATTTTGTAAAATGATATTCCCTGAAACATTTCAGATTCTGAGTGGAATGATGAATGTATTGATTTTACAATGATGTGTTTTTTTTTTTTTTTTTGTGTCTGTCATCAACTATTAGGACAGTAAAAGTACTTAGATTTTCTTCAACAGCACCTTTTCTAAAAGGAAAGTGAATCTAGTTGGTATTTTGGTGGGGTCAAAATTTTTCCAGTAGTTTTCAAAAGCGCCGTGAAAAACAAAAGAAAAATTAAGGAAAAAACTGAATTTTTACACAGAATCTGTTTTTGAAAAAATCGATTTTGGTTTTTACTGCAACTCTTAAACAAATGACCGTAGATACATGACATTTTAACTAAATGTTTATATTAGAATTTCTATACACGATAAAATTTACAAAATATTATGATTTGTTTTGAACTGTTTAGGAACATTTTCATTTTCCATTTTTTTTAAATTTTTTTTCTAAAAATATCAATAAAATTTTATTTGTTGGTTAAAAAAACTTGAAAATTTAATAGAAGGCTCCTAGTATATTGTTTCAAAGGCAGATGAAAAATATTAAAAATCCTTAGTCACAGTTTTTTTTTTATAATCATTTAAATTTCAAAAATTGACAAAATATGGAAAAATCACGAAAATTAGCAAATTATTTTGAGTAAAAATTTTCTTTTTAAATCAAAGATTTTAAAATGTAATACAAGATTCCTCATAAGTTTGCCTACCTTTATCAAAAAAAAAAATGTCTACAAGAAACTCAAATTAAATTTTTATGAGTGTTTGAAATTCATATTTTTATAGCATTTGATATTCTGCACTCGATTTCTCATGTAACAATTTTCTTATTTTATTGTAATTAAAAAACGAGTGATTGTAAGTACTTTAAAATTTCACTGAATGTTTATATTAGCCTTTTCTATACACCATACAATTTTGTACATAATTTGACTCTTTAAGAGCTGTTTACGGACATTTTCAGTTTTTAATTTTTTTAGTTTTTTTTTCTATAAATATCTATCAATAAAATTTATTTGTTGGGTAAAAAAGCGTGAAAATTTAATACAAAGGTTCCTGATATATTGTTACAATAGCAGTTGAAAAATATTAAAAATACATAGGCACAATTTTTTTTTATATTCATTTAAAGTTCAAGTTTTGACAAAATTTATCACATTTAAAATTTTTTAAAAATTTATAAAATGTTCAACTTTTATAGCTAAAGATTGAAAATTTAAAACAAGATTCCACGTAAATATGTTGTACATAAATTACTTTATTCACCTTAATATCATCAAATATACTTATATAGTAATATCATAGGCTGACTGATCGTTTTCGCTCAGAATCGTTTTTCTTATACAATGATATTTATCATTGAATTCAAATTTAACACCATCCATTACAGTGACCCACTTGTAACATACTGTACAGCACATCGACATCCACTTACCCATCTTTTTTAATATGTTTTTATGTATTTATTTTGTTAAAATAATAAAACAAACTTAAATAATATTTATTTGTGGGTACATTATTCATCTTTAGTCCTTAGACTCTTTACTATTGCATTAGAAAAAACAAAAGTGTTTCGAACATGTGAATTGACGGAATTTGATGAAAAAATACCGGAAAATGAACAAAATAAAGAAAATATAACCTAAAAATGCAAAATAAAAGTTTCATAAATGGATTCTTAGTTACGTTATTCAAATTATGTACTTACAAATCTACGTTTTACAATCACCAAAAAAAATGCACATTCCTACAAATTCACAGGTTATAACATAACAATGGATTAACATTATTTTAAATCATGGATTGATGTACTAATTAATATAACTAATATATTAATATGTGTTATTGTGTTATAAACAATAAACATAACTTACAGCTTTCATCAAACACACCATATAATACAAAACAAGCCTTAAGTTGTCCTTATACAAATGGGAAACAACGGAGGTTATGATTATAATGGATCAAATTGATGGTATTACTTATAACTTAATAAAGATTTTTTGTACACTAGACTATACTACAACAATTTATAAAGGCTATAAAAAAATAAAAAAATTAGAGATAACATATTCCCATTAGCTATGGCTCTGGAGTGTAATTTTGCTAGTAGATAGGTAAAATAATAATAACATTCCAGCAAAATGTTTTGTTATAAAGTTTACCGTGATATATTAATACTTATGTTTCTATTCTGTATGCGATATAGTTGCAAGGCCATAACTAGGAGGTCTAGGGGTCTGGACCCTCCTCTACCTTCGAAATTTTTTAAAAATAGTAAAATTTTAGATGTGAATATTGTTTATTGGCTATTGTAAATATTTTATGTTTTTGTTAAAGCAGTAATAACAAGAATATTGATTTATTGTATTTATAATGTAAAAATTATGAGTATACAGTATATATATTAAAAAAATGTTGGTCCCCCTCTCCAAATTTTTGTTTTTAGTTATGGCCTTATTCAGTGAGTGTCATTAGTGGATGACTTCTCACATCAAGTGTAGCCTGTTAATATTTAATTATTATATATGTGCAAATGATTATTATAATTAATTTATATGTATACTCTAACAACATAAGCCTATTATAGGGCCTAAGGATTGTTTATTTTTAATAATAAAAAAAAAAAGTTATGCCCTTATATAGATGTATGCACCTTGTGTTATAGATTTATAATACAAAACCAGAATATATGGTTAAAAAATAAACTGTATATTATATTAAATAAAGATTCTGTTACGTATAGAGCCATAAAGTTTAACACAAAAAATCCCAAACAAATAAAATTATAGTATAAACATTATACAACAAAAAATATAGAACATATCATAATGTAATGAGTGGTTCTTGAGTTTTTAATTCTTGTTTCATCAATCCGAACCTCCATTCATTTCTATCTCTAAGTATAGGTCTGCCAAGTTGGTTGTGTAATTCTTTGAATGTCTTACGGAATGAAACTATATCTTTACGCTGAGGAGATTGATGACTATTCACTGGCTTATTGAAAGGATTATTACGACCTCTGGGAGGTGGCTGTGGTGATGATTGGCCACTTGATTCTTTTTTTTTAGTTACTTGGTTATTTGGTACTTGAAGAGTTACTCGAACAGGTGTTTCTATATAAAAATATAAAATAAACATTTTACTTAAATTGTGATGAATAATTTCTGTTACTAAAATTATGTAATGGTAATGATTAGAGCATGAACTTTGTTGCATATGCATCTATTTTAGCCTCATAAGATTTATTACTATATGAAAGCTATAATTCAAATTCATGATATCAAAAATGTTAATGCATATTTTTGCTTTTAAGTGCATAACTATATGTGTATTTAATTCATTTGTATACTCTGTTCACCTTGATAATGTGGTTACTACTTACTTCCTACATAGACTGGAGCCAAGGAATGGTGAGGTCAGTCCACTTTGGTTGAGGTTGAGTACTACACGTTTTGGTTTGTGCTCAATCACATTTCTCGGTGAACATAGTATAGAATATTAGCACTATTGCTAGCATTAGTCCTATTAATGATAAAAATTAATATTAATATACCTTCCAGTTCTTTAAGTTGTCTTTGTAAATCAGCGACCATAAATTTCATGTAATCATAACTGGCACAAGCCAATGACTTCATCCACTGTTCCATTGACTCCTGGCTATCGGCTCCCAATATATAACTCCTATTATTGGGGCCATGAAAAATAATTTTAAAACTGAACTGATCATCATTTTCAGCCAACTCTGAGGAATAAAATTCATTTAATACCAATAAAGTCATAAATAATGCATTAACACAACATACCAATGCTACATCCTTCCAATATGACAACGCCAAGCGGTTCCTTATCACTTTTCCTGTCAAAATAGAAGAGCAAGTTGCCTTTAAGAACAAACCATCTCTTCTGGTAGCCTTTGTTAAGTTCTCCTCGTTTGCAAAGCCATCCTTCCTTGTCCACTGGCGACGTCGATGTCGAATATGCAGATAAATTTTTCTCGTTTATCTTCATTGGAATTGTTTAGTTCTCATTAATATGTAACTTTGGTTGACATTTTATAATATTATGTAATAAAATGAATATGTTATATTATATAATGAGTATTATTTTTTAGTTTTCAATAGGAGCGAGTGACCTGGAGATATCTTAAACATTAGTATTTGAAGAAATTTCGAATTTTTTACAATAATATTTTCTATTTTCTTCATTATCAGTTATCAGTTATCACGTAATGTCGTAATTTACATATTATCAGGTTTGGGTACTTTTCTCGAAAGTTCCTGGAAGAAAAATAAGATTAACCAACTTGCCAACCACAAAATGAATAAAAATTTTTATGAGCAACGAGCCCCGTTCATGTCAGTTTCTGCTTCCTATGAGTCATGCTACTGACTAATATAGAATCACAGAATAAATGAAATTATCATATTATATATTACATAAATTAATAAACTGTCATATTACTCATATTTTATTCTGGGATAAAATCGTGTAATCAGTCACCGTGATGAAGACGGGATACCATACTATACGATACTCATAACTCATGCTTACATTGAATATTATACAGTAATATTTATTACAGTTTACTTAATAGTTAGTATAATATGTATACTAGATGGGCCATAGGCGTGACTAGACTTCATCGGCAGCGGCAGCCTAGCTAATGATCGGCGCTACCTTATTAGTGAACCGAAAAAAGCCCTATACACCCAAAGCCGTATTTTTTTAAGCCCCCCTCCCACTCAACAATGAAATATTTATATAATTAAAAAAAAATCCCAAATTATCTATTTACAATAATAATCTACTAATCTACAGTAACTTCAGAAATATTATTAAACTACAGCCTTGGATTAGTTGGATTACACCACCAAGCTACAAATCAAACATAATATCAATAATACCTATAGATGCGTACCGTACCGTCGTCGTCGTCTGTCTCAAGTTTTTATAGTAGGTATTTCCGATTTCCGAAGTCAGGAAATCAATTTGACAATACATGTTAAATAAAGATATTATCTACCTAATTTTGTTGAACATATCTTTGTAAGTAAACGGTTATTATAACGGTACACATAAAAAAAATAGTTTAAAAAAAAAAAAATGTTGTGACCCTTCTGATTTAAAACCGGCACCTTTGAAAAATTGCAGGGGCAGCCCAGGCACCCTAGGCTGCCACCGTAGACACGCCTATGAGATGGGCACAGTTGTAGAATGGGAGGCAGTGGCGTGGTGAACGACGTTTACCTAATGCAATTGCTTAGCCCTAGAAATTTTTCAGGGGGGTGGGTACTCCTTGGCCCGGGTAAAGATAATAAAGAATATATATTAAGAATAAAAACCATCGGCCAAAATAGATTGGAATCACTAATGCTTCTATCTTGGGAAAAAGATATTTCACCTTATTTAGAAGAAGCATTAGATAGATTGGGTAAACCTTCTCAACTGCTAGAAAAAGCTCTTTTATTTAAATAAATAAATAATTTTATATTTATATGATAGTGTGACACTGTAAATAAAAAATGATATTAGTATATAACAATATACCTATATTATTTTTTATGTATTGCGTTATAATTATAATTAATGCATTATGTAATATATTTTCTGATAATACACTTACATATAAGCAAGGCTTATGTTTACTGCGTAAAAGACTGCTTCAAAAGTCATCAGATTTAATTGATAGGTATTTTAGGTTCTGAGTGAAACGATGAATGTATTGATTTTACAATGATGTGTGTTTTTTTTTAAATTTTTTTTTGTGTCTGTCATCACGTTTTGGGACAGTAAAAGTGATTGGTTTTTCTTCAACAGTAGCTTTTCTGATAGGAAAGTGAATCTAGTTGGTACTTTGGGGGGTCAAAAGTAAAAATTTCCCAGTAGTTTTCACAAGCGCCGGGAAATACAACATAAAAATTAAGGAAAAACGGGAATTTTTACGCAAAATCGGTTTTCCAAAAAATAGATTTTGGTTTTTGGTGTACCTCTAAAAGAAATGAACATATATACATGAAATTTTCACTGGTTGCTTATATTTGCATTTTATATACACGATAACATTTTCAAAATATTTTGATTTATTTTGAACTGTTAAGGGACATTTAAATTTTCCTTTTTTTTTTGAGTTTTTTTCTAAAAATATCAATAAAATTTTATTTGTTGGTTAAAAAAGCTTGAAAATGTAAAAGAAGGCTCCTAGTATATTATATCAAAGGCAGATGAAAAATATTAAAAATCCTTAATCATTGTTTCTTTTAATAAGCATTTAAAGTTCAAAAATTGACAAAATATGGAAAAATCACAAAAATTAGCAAAGTATTTTGAGTTAAGAATTCGTAAAAATTTTTCTTTTTAAATCTAAGATTTGAAAATGTAATACAAGATTCCTTATAAGATTATCTACCTTTATCAAAAAAAAAAAGTCCATAAGAAAGTCAAATAAAATTTTTATGAGCGTTTGAAATTTAAATTTTTACATTATTGGATATTCACTCGATTTCTCATGTAGCGATTTCCTTATTTTGTTGTAATTCAAAAACGAATAACTGTAGATACATGAAAATTTCACTGAATGTTTAAATTAACATTTCCTTTACACCATACAATATATTTAAATATTTTAACTAAAATATTTTGACTCTTTTTGAGCTATTTACGGACATTTACCACTTTCAATTTTTTTTAGTTTTTTTTCTATAAATATCAATTAAGTTTTATCTGTTGGGCCAAAATGTGTAAAAAATTAATACAAGGCTCCTGATATATTATTACAATATCAGTTGAAAAATATTAAAAATACATAGGCACAGTTTTTTTTTATAAGCATTTAAAGATCGAATTTTGACAAAATTTATCAAAATCTCGAAAATTATCAATCATTGTAATTAATAAATTATAAAATGTTCAGTTTTTATAGCTAAGGATGGCAAATTTAAAACAAAGGTTCTCATAAATAGTTCATACTGTAACCAAAAAATCAAAAAAATATATGAACACAGTTATTTTTTACAGACATTTTAAATTAAAATTTTTACGAAATTACATATTAAAAAACCCAGAATAACTATTTTAGTTATTTTGTTGTGATTGAATAATATTTTTCTTGATTACTTGAAACTTCTAAAGTGTACTATTATATATCTATGATATTATCACGGTTTTTGTTGATATATAACGCGTTATAAGTAGGGGAGAGTGGGGCAGATTTGAATGCGGGGTACATTTGAATTTGTCTAATATAATTTGTTACAGATTATTTACATTCATAAAAATAATAATCTAAGTTGGTGACAATATTTTGTATACCATATGTGATTATCAGGCATTTTTGAATAATTTTGTGATAAATAAAAATGATAATGTGATTTTCCGGCTTTTTTAAAAAAAAAATAGGTGTTTCCATAAGAACATTTTGGAAACTAAAATTCAAAATAATAAGTTTAGAATTAAATATACCTATTCAAAATATTGTTGCCTAGTAATACATTTAATGTACATACATTATTTATAATTATTAAAATTTATATTACGATTATTATTGATTATTTTGGCATGGGGTAGATTTGAATCTTCATCAATAGGGTAGATAATAGGGTGTAATAAAGGTTCCTCCTTTTTGAAATATCTATCTTATGGATGGAATATACTAGTTAACTGGATTTATGTCACAAGATGTGGATTTATCTATAAGAAAACTCAAAAATACTACATTTTCACAATAAAAAAAAAATTGACAAGAAAACATCTAAACATAATTATAAAAAATTGGTATTATATTATATTGAGCTATTTTTATTATTAAAATAAATAAAAAGTTTAATTTAATTTAATATTTAACATTCAAATGTGGCTTTTAAGACACATATTCAAATCTACCCCCTGCACGTTCAAATGTACCCCATGGGTGGGGTACATTTGAATAAAAATATACTTCACTTCATAATTAGAAATTAAATTGGTTATTTAATATATAAGGTTGTTATAAGTCAAATAGTGTTCACAACTATCTAGACTACAGATTGTAATTATCAAATATAAAATTTGTCAAAAAATTAAAAATTAAAAAAATAAAATGTAAATTTCATTCAAATCTGCCCCACTCTCCCCTACCTAATGGATATTGTGATATGATTAATTTGGAATTTATTATAGGTAGGTACCTATTATAGGTCAAATTTTGGTTTAGTACCATAGATATGTATATAATATTTCTTATACCTAGACTGACATACCTTCTCCGCTCAGAAACGTTTTTCTTATACAATATTACAATGATATTATATCGTTGAATTCAAATTTAATATCATCCATTATCCAGTGACCTACTTGTACCCTACTGTACAGCAGAGCGACACCCACTTGCCCATCTTTTTAATTATACTATTACTATTTTATGTATAATTAATTATTAAAGTGTTATTTATAATAAATGTGATGACTTCCTATAACAAAAATTCAAAATTAGCATATAGAAAATTGTATATAGTTTGTGGTGTGGGGGGGGTGGAAGTTGGTGGGTCATTACAATATTAATTTGCTTAGGGTTTGAAAGATGCTCGCCACGCCACTGATGGGAGGGTTAAATGAGCTTTAGCCCCCCCCCCTACCTTATAAATTCATCACGCTTCGCTTATTTAGCAGTGGCATGTGCCATCCGGCGTTTCCCTGGTAAGAATAAATAATATAAACATACAAGTAGACAGGGCCGGCGTTAGCTAATATTTGTGAGGGGTCGTGGTTAACGAAAGTGACGACTGAAATTCATGCATAATTATAAAACACTAAAAAAAAATTTTTGCGACACTCAAAATGTCAAGTTTTTGTTTCGACGATTCCATACTATGTTGGAGCAAAAACTTATTATAAAATCTTGATAAATGCATGTTTTTATACATATTTTTCAATATTCACTATTAATTATGATATTGTTCCAGAGTAAAAATTCGTCAAACCGTTTATAAATAAAACAATAAAACTAATAATGTTTTTGTATTACATGATAAAGA